TGGGGATATTTCACATCACAAACCAAATGCACCACAACACCAGTGCTGCACAATGAGGAGGCTCACAGAGAAAGCACCCCGGCCCTGGAAGCCCCTTTCTGGGGAAATCTACGCAGCACTGCCTGCAAGGTGACAGGAGCTCCCCAGGGTCCCTTCTGGCTCTGCTGGGACAGGGACAACCCTGCCGCCCTCGAAAAGCTCGTGGGAGCCAGGACCCAGTGGGATGCTGTCCCGAGCACCCACCATCCCTAATGTGCTCACCATGCCAAATCACCCTGGGTTTTTCTGCACTCCCTGTGTGTTTTAGACACTTGCTGCTGCAGCTGAGGGGGTCCCACTGAAATATGTTGAGTTGACAGCATGAGGAGCTCAAACAGGCTGCATGAATAAAGGCAGAGAGGGAGGGGAGAGTGACACTCCCATTGACAGAGATCCTCCGAGCAGAGGGCTCAGCTGCAATAGGGGCCAACACCACGCAGGCACAGTGTTTCCACTTTTTCCCCAGACCAAAAAGAAGCTCAAGACTGCAGGGAAGTTAAAGCGGCTCCTCTTGATTCGTTTTATGCAATATTTATGGGCAAAGCAGGGATGGGGAGCACGGGCAGTTTAGAACAGGGGAGGGAATCTGATCACTCATCACAAATGAACACAAACAAGATGGGAGAACCTTGCTCACTGGAGGTACTTTTTTGCCTGCAAACAGATTAGAGTTAAGGATTCAAACCACTTTTGCATTTCATCATTCAGTAATTTATATAAGGCATTTCCACTACAATACGCTGGGCCATTCAACAGTGGAGGCTGGGCCTCCCAGGCGTGCCTGCTAGGCTTTGCTTGCTAGATGTTACCGACGCTTTAAGAAGCAGAACATTAGCAAATGCAAAACTAATTGACATTCTAGAAAGTCAACTGGCAATTTTTATGATTCAGCAGCTACAAATTGGGCAGAGGAAAAAAAAACCAAACCCAAAACCCAGAAAGGGAAATTATACTTGTCCCTTGAACATCTCTAGCAAAAAGATAAGGAGGAGCCCTCTCCTCCTTCCCTGTGTAAAAGCAAAACCATCAGCACCCACAGCGAGGATACTTACAAAATAAATAAACAAACCTTCAATTCTCGAGAAACTACAGTATTTAGCATCCACCTTAGACCTGCTGAAGTCTATGTGTTACCCTAAGGCTGGCTTTAACAGATACAAACAAAACATTCATTATGAACTTCTCTGATATAAGGCAACTTTAAATAGATTCACTTGCGGGTGGGGGAAGAAGAGAGTTCCCTCTCCCCCTTCCAAACAATGGCTGTGTTATCATGTTGGCTGCAGAAAGAATAAGATGGAGAGATCTTACTTTTTGGATGTCTATGAATCTCTCTGGATTCTTCTAGCCATCCGAGGTGGACATCGCTACTGTCCAGCCTGGCCTCATTTTGCACCCGAGACATTAACACTATCAAACAAGAAACCCAGCCAAAGCTAGATAAGGCAACAAAAAAGCATCGCTCTCTTCCCCAAGTAAACAAATCAGGGTATTTACCATAAATGTGTCCCAGACCTTCCAGAGGGGAGGCGGGAAGGGGGAGAAAAAAAAAAAAGCAGCATTCCCTGTGCAAGTAGAAGCAACAAGCAAATTAAAAAGGGGCTACTTCTAAATATACATTCAGTCAGCAGTCAGACCGTGCGCTCCCATGCACACTCGCATAACACAAGATTTAGCACACACACACCCAAGCTGCACACCTAAGTTTCCAGGCTCGCCATTAAGTTTCCTTGCAGGTTGCCTACCGGGAAGGAAAAAAACCTAAACCAAACGAGCCTACCAACAAAAAAATATTCCCCAAACAAACAAAGACAACAAAACAAAAAACCCCCACCCAACACTCCAAGAGTCCTCGAAAAGTAATTGAAAGGGAGCATTCACTTCTGAAGTGAAGGGGCGGTGTGTCTCTTCTGGCGATTCAAGATGCAGCATTAGTTTAGAGTTTGTAAAAGATTCAGGAAGGGTTGGGAGGGGGGGCGGAGAAGGGACAGAGATGTCTAAGAGTTCACACGTATGATAGGTAAGGAAAAAAGTGCAAAACTGAGGCAACGTATTTGAAGTCTTAGTTTCTGTCTGTCTGTCTGGTTTTTGTGTTTTGTTTGCTCTCTCGTTCGTGTTCGGCTTTCAGCAGCGCGAGCTGGGGTCTTGCTCTAGTTTTATGGTTAGGGTGGGCTCCACGGCCACAGGGGCCCCGTTGGCATAGTGGGAGGTTTTGTAGGTGATGGAGTGATCGCTCTTCTTGGCCGCATAGCGGAACCGGTGGTAGTGGAGCACAAGGGCCAGCGCGACGGAGACCAGCACCACAACAGCACCTCCGGCGGCAATAACGTAATACCAGTAGGCTGGGATGGGCTGCACTGACACCGTGTCCACTGTGGGCTCGGTCCCTGGCAGGAGGGTTGCCCCTGGGGAGGAGACACAGAACAGGGTTGCTAGGTGGGAGGCATGCAGACGCACAGAAAGAAACACACATGCTTTCAAGAGTACAGCACGGAGTAACACGAGGTCCCAGAGCTGCCTCCGGATACGGGGTGTGCTCCTGGCGGGGAGCACAGCCTGGTGTTTGCTGAGCCCGCATATTCAAGGGCCTTTTTCTTCCCTTTTAATTAATCAGGCTGCCTGGATCGCAATACGAATTCCATATGCATGCTATTATTACTGTTATTTCTGGCATCAACAAATGTTTTTTTCCCCTCTTTTTTTTTTTTTTGGCCTTCTCCAGATCAGCCGCCTGGTTTTGTCTCCGCATGGCAGATGTTGTCACGCAGTGACAAAACACATCACTTTCCTAATTGGAGGAAGAGCATGGCCAAGGAAGTTACCACAGGAGACTGGGAAAGAAATTACAGGGAGAAGCATTTGTCATTCTTATGGAAAAGACAGAGAAGACCTCTGTCTGAAAGTGCCCTGCACACAGATCTGGTCTCACTAGGTGCCCCATTCACAGACTCACAGACCTCCTTATTATTTTTTAAAGTGAGAAAGGATGGTTATGATTATTTACACGACACAGGCAGCGAAATTCAATCCAATGCTCACGTAAGAAACTCGTGGTCTCTGCAGCTTAAGCAAGCCAGGACTATGAATTCATGCTGATAAAGCAAACACGCCTAGGGAGGGCTGGAAAAGCACCTGCCTCCCTTGAATTCAAGGGCAGACAGCACCCAGGCTCAGCCCAGCAACAGTTAACCCTTCCTACTCTTGCAGCTGCATTGTGTTTCAGGGCAGGGCTGCACGGGGCTGCTCTCCCTTCCCAGGTCATCCCAGGACAGCGCGGCACACATCTGGGGATCAGAGGTGGAGGACCGCGCTGCCAGGCCACAGAAGCATGCACGCACACGTGCCTCCGGCAAGCACCGAGCGCCTGTGGACGCACTCTTGCCCACGGCGAGACCAACTCCGCGCTATTGCTCCTGCACACACTGCTCCCACCTCCCCAGCTCCGCTTGCGGGGGTGAGCTGTAAATAACTCGGGAGAGAGGTGCTTTCGCACCACATTTATTTACTGTCTACTTCAAGGGGGCCGAAGTCCCTGGGGAAACTCTCCACAGGGTTCGCTCTGCTGCTGAACACATTGTCGTCCCCCCTCTGCTCGCCCTCTCCTCTTGCCCCTGACCTGCTGATGGGAGGCAAGCCCCTGGCTACGTGTCAGCAAGCAGAATTTTGGGGGCTCCTGTGGTTTGCTGCCAGCATTTCATTGAGCTCTGCATTAACCAAACTCCAGCTTGGTTTCCTGAGCAGGCTCGGAGGATGCCAAGGGGAAAAAAACCCAACAGTGCAGGATACACCTGGCTTTGCTCGCAGCAAGGGCATCTCGCAGCATGGCCTCCACCCTCCCCTCCAAACACTGCCCTACCAGCAGAGCCACTAGCAGGCAAATTTGGGATGGCGATGGCTTTTCTGCTGCTGGTGGCACAGTAGATGAGGCAACATTATGGTTCCTCTGCCAGTCACAAGACTTTCCTCCTCTCCCCATCCCCCAAAACCCAGGAACAGGGATTAAAAATAAGAATGAACACCGCACCCAGATGCATAGCTACAACAAAAAAACCCCTCAAAACCAAGAAAAAAACCCACACAGGCAAGACAAATCCTGCTTTTACAGAGCAGAAGGCTGGGAACCACCCACATATTTGTCATTGTAGGCATGAAAATTAGGATGTCTCAGGAGAAGCCTACCTGCTAGATATGCTGCCCTTGCCCCGTCTCACTCCAGCCATCCCTTGCTGCCAGGAATGGGGGTGGCCCTGTCCCTCCTGCCCCCCAACAGTGTCTGGGGAAGGTGGGGTACAGGCTGGGCTCTGTGATGGGGGTGGCAAAGGCAGGGAGCAGGCAGCCCTCTGACCTCCTTCTCTATCTCCATCAGCCATCCTGGTGCAGGGGAAGTGGCACATCCCTGTGCCTCCCCGAGCAGCTGCTGCCCCTCACCTGGCTGCATGGGGGTGGCAGTGTGGGACACCCCATGGGGGTCACAGCCAGCCCCCCACAGAGGTGAGTATGTTCAACCCTGCCCTGAGCTTCACTGATAACCTGCTGCTGTCTCCCACTGCAGATCCAGCCAGCTGAGCCGCCCCAGACCCGTACGCAGCCCACCACCATCCCTGATGGATCAGCAACACCTTGCCTGTGCCTGACAGTACCGGGGCGCAGCGCTGCTCACTGTGCAGAGGCCACTTGTGTTTACACTCGGTGACAGTCTCTGCTTACATAGTGCCTTGCTCCAGCGAGAGATTTACAGGTGAACAGCCTCTCACACCACTGATATGCACCAGGCCCAGCCGGTGGAAACTGGAGTGGGGAGAGGTGGGGGCAAGGTGTCAAGCAGCGCTCCCCTCTGAAAAACAGAGGGGACGAAAAGGCTGTGCATTGCCAGGTGCAGGGCTGGGAGTACAAAAGGTGATTCTGGCCATAGAGAAGCACATGCCATGGTGCCCAGCCTGCAGCCCTTGCCCTTTCCCAACGCACCTCTGCCCTTTGCCCGCCTGGGGATGGAGGGAGGCAGCACGATGGGCCCCAGATGATCCTGTGTGTGGGAAGAATCCCTAAGGGATCTCAAGGAGGCTGTGGGTTCAGGACAACCTCTGCTTGGCTCTGACCTGCTCCAGATGTCCCCATGCAGCAACCGGGGATGCAAGCGTGAAGGGTAGTCAGCCCC